GCCATCCCAGAAGCAAGATTCTTGCACAGGGCTTCTTAGTTATTTACCCTGAGAAGGAATGTTACATAATAATATCAGCATAGAAGTTTATCTAGAAGCTGCACCATCCTGGATGCTGAAGAGAAAAGCTCATTTCATTATTATCTACTGTCAAAAGGTTAAGTTTGGGTGAGAGACAGATACACCTTTGTCTATTGCTTGTATGTGAACTGCTCCACACATAGGCACAAATTTGAAAGGCTTTAATGGGATTTGTAGTCAATGCTGTTCCACATCAAGACAACTGGCACTGGCTTTACACCGTTCTGTTCCGGCCACCTGGACACTCGAGAGATGTCCCCCAGCATCCTGACCATTAGACATCCTCCATTGACCTGGATCAGTGCAGTGGTGCTCAGTCATGAGGTCATGGACCTCGAAACAGTGGTCTTACAAGCTGACCTGTGGTTTTATTGAAACTGTCCTATATGTAGACCCACAGAAAATTAAGTCTGCTATAAAAACAGGAGAAAAGAAAGGCCATCTGGTAAACCTCCTATTCCTCGACAGGAGAAATAGTACCAAGAAGCCATCTGGGCACTGCAGGGCATGTGTCCACACTCCTCCATTCCTTCTAGTTCCCTTACAGGCGTGCTTGGGGATGTGGCATTTGCAACTGAATACGTGGAAATATGTTCTCAGGAAGCCGAGAACAGAACAGAGTGGCCTGGGATAAGATGGAAGAGGGAGAAAAGAAATTCTCCTGGGAGCTGGAACTGTCTCTGTGACTTAGATTCATTCTCATGGACCTGCCACATACCTCAGGCATCATGGAAGAGTTTAATGTAAAAAGAACATTATGTAAATGAGAATAGTCTTCTTTTCCGATCAGGGCAAATGTTGTCAGCACTAGGGCAGACAGCTTCGTCAGTGGCAGGCAATATAAGGATTCTAAGTTTATCAAATGGCAGGGATCAGCAAGGACCAGAGTAGCCAGCAAGGGCCTGGAGTGGGTTTGGATGCAGATCCTGGTGAAGGGGCGCTGTTTAAAGAGGTTGGAGGAGAGGAAGGCACTGGAGCCTGGGGAACAAAGATGCAGAAGCCAGCCCCTGAGTTCATACAGAGGCCCCTGAGGTGACTGGGAGGAGAGGAACAGGAGCCCATTGGAGAGGGACATACCAGTTGTAAAGGGCTTCACCACCAGGATGGAGCTGCTTGGGTTTTTGTGTTTGACAAAGGGATTTCTGTTTTATGGGTAGGTAGGGGCTACAGCAGAGTCTATAAGCTGCCACCCTGGAGCATGGCCTTGCCCTAGTGCAGTCAGAGAGATCTGGGCTCAAGTCCTAGCTATGCCCTTAATAGGCTATGTCTTGGGCATACTCATCCCCCCTAAGCCTCATTTCTGTAAAATAGGGGCTAAATCCATCGACTTGCTTAATGTGGATGATACACGATAGAGTTTTTTAAATGTTTTTATTGATTTTTGAGAGAGAGGAAGGGAAAGGGAAAGGGAAAGAGAGAGATAGAAACATTGGTGTGAGAGAGAAACATCGATCGTTAGCCTCCCGCACATGCCCTGACCAAGAATCGGACCCACAACCTGGGCATGTGCCCTGACCAAAAATCAAACTGGTGACCTTTAGGTGCATGGGATGACACTCGACCAACTGAGCCAAACCAGCTAGGACTACAATCATGTTTTTCAAGTGTCTGGCACATAGCAGGTGCACAATAGATGGCAGCTATGTTTACACATTGTATGCGGGAAACGTATTTATACTGGTAGTAGAGCGCGCGATAAAAACTACCCGCAAACAATGTGTTTGTTATGTTGTTCCTGCTGCCATAGCTTGCCTTACCCCGGTACTGTTCTGTGCGCCTCTGTATCACAGACTATGAGGGCATACGAGTGCCGTCCTTCTGAAAGAGTCTGTCTTAACTCTGACACTGTCAGCCGTTTTGCTGTCTGGCCTCCTAAGCAGGAGATGGGAGTCCCAGCAGCAGTCTCTACCAGCCCGTGGGTACAGCAGTAAGTCCAGCCTGTCGCCCTCCGTGGCTCTGGCTCTGCCTCTGCCTCCCAGGCTGTGTGACATATCCTCCCATTGGGAGTCATTTCCACTTTGTCTTTAATTGCTCCTCGTTGGGGCACCTTGTCAGCCAAGGCAGCTTCCTGTCACTTGATGCCACATCTCTTTCTAGTTCAGTCATCAGTTGGGGACTTTCATTTAGTTGAAAGCCTGATTTTACGGAGAATACTGTACCAGATGCTAATTTGCCTTGAAGGAGAGAGCAGCAGGGTTTCTTGCCTTCGTGTCCTTCCTAAGGTGCTGATACATTTCTGCAGATGAGGAAATGAATATAGTGGGACTCAGAGGTCACACAACTGTAGTAAGAAAGATGTGAACACACACGCACATGCACACGCACGCACAATTCAGGGCCGGGGCGTAGATAAAGAGCTCACCTTCAAAGAGCTTTTGAGAGAAGTCTGGTTGTCTTTGTCTGGCCAGTTGCTGGCCCTGATTCTCCTGCCTGTCTCTCCAGGAATCTGCATTCTAGTTACTCACCTTCTGTTCCTGTCTCTGCTGTGTATCCTTCTTACAAAAGAGTTTCTCTTCATAGGATTCTGCATTCCTTTCCTTTAAAAGGCCTTTTTCTTTTTTATTCCTGCCTCCTGTAGGGATATCTGAACTCTCTTGCCATTTATCATTCAATGGAGACATGCCTCAGTCTGTCCCACTGGGATGAGCTATTGTTATGCATTAATAATTAACCTTTACAAGGAGCTCCAATCCTGTAGGCATCTAACCCAGTGCAGACAAAGCCAAAGTTTGATTATGACAGAGAGATCTCACATGCTGGGGCACAATAGCGGTGGTAGGAAAGGAGGAGTGCCAGTCATTAAACTTCTATTTTCTTTTCTGGTTCACTCACTTGAGAGATTGCTAAGGATCCTGCAGTTTCTCCTTCGCACAGGGTCAGTCCAGTAGAGGGAAAATGGGAAATTCAGCTTTTGAACTGGGGAGTTGAACATGCATGACTTTCTACATAAGGTTAAAGATGAGCTTCATGGGAGCTGCTGGTGGGACCTTGTTTCAAGTGTTCACAGTGGTGAAGCACGTGGACTCTGGAGCCCAATTCCCTGAGTTCAAGTCCTGCTCTGCCACTTACCAGCTGTGTGACTGTGGACTGGTCCCTTAACTATTCTCCGCATCTGCTTCTGTATCAGTAAAATGGGGGAATGGTGAGGATGTTTCAGAATGAGTGTTGTCAGGATCTAATGGGATGGTAGGCTTCAGATCCTCAGCATGGTGCCTGGGAGTAGGTGCTCAGTAAATATTAATATCATTATTTTCAATGTTACTGATTACGGTTAGGCCCATGATCAAGGTCATATAGTAGGTGAGGCATTTTCGATTCTTTGTTATTAGTTATACACTGAAAGGCAAAAAACTCTGCTTGAATCTCTCCTGGTGACAGGGGAGAGAAGGGGGACAGTTCTATAGCTGGATGTTAGGGATTAAATGTTAAGTACTGGAATGACTCAACCCATTAACTTTTTATCACTTAGATGGATTGATTGTGAGACTAATTTCGACACTTAAATCTTATTATTTTCCTGAAATGGAGATGATAATATCCTCTGATCTTTGGAAAGGATGAAATCAGATTAATAACAAATACAACAACCATCCACAAAATAGCTGAGATTTTTATACCCTGACTATGTGCCATTTCTAAGTGCTTTATATGTATTAACTCGTTTCATCCTTATAAAATCGCTTACTCCTATGTTCCCATTTTCAAAGGAGAAAACAGACTGAGATAAGTTAAACAACTTTGCCAAGGTCACATAGCTTGTAAGTAGTGGATGTGGGATTTGAATTTAAGTCTGGATCCCGCCTTAGAATTTGAAAAAGATAATGTACAGGACAGAGCTCAGTGGTTGGTATAATCAGTTCTCTAACGTTGGCCCTGTTCCTTTCCAATTTTTTTTTTCCTGTTTATTGTATGCATGTGACATTGCTTAGACATCAGAGGTCCAAGACTCAACCAGGGCACTGCATCAAAATTCAGTTCTAGTGACAGCAAAACCTTTTTGAAATTCTAATTTGGGAGAATAAAATTAATCCTTGCTTTTATGTGGATTATACCAGGTTTAGAAAGTCAAATTATATTTGTTTATATTTTAAGGTGTTTCATCCCCTCACTATAAGTATATAGAGAACACACACAATGTGCAATGAAACACAGACGTCTTCCCCCATCAACTCTTAACAATCATTTTCTTTAAGCAATACATCCACATGGTTAAAAAAAAATCAAATACAATAGGGTACTGTGAAAAGTAAGTCTCCCTCCCACGCCTGAATATTAATCTGACAAATCCACTCCCCAGTGACAATTTTATAGTTCCTTGTGTTTTCTTTCAAAGATGTTTTATGCATTATGAGCATATATACCTATAACACCCCCAAAATGCGCACTTTACACAATGAGAGCATAATGCATGCTCTGATCTCTTCCTTGCTAATTTCACTTAGCAGTATTGCTTGGAGAGCATCCACATCAAAATTGGGAACACTACCTGGTTCCTAAGGACCGCATAATATTCCATCATAAGGATGTGCCAGTCTGTTATTGACAGTCATTTGGGTTGTTTCTGGTCTTTTACTAAGGACACTTCAGTAAATATCTTTGTATACATGTATTTGTATCTGTGCAACTCAATATGTCTTGGTTTTTACTTGCAAACTTATATTATAGAACTTTCTGACAAAACAAAACTTAACCAGAAGCAGACAGACAAAAGGAATAGGATGGAAATATAGGAGCTTATTCAGGACTTGTGTGCACCCTAGAGGTCTCTTTGGGTGCTTTTTCAAATGCTGTGTCTCATGTTTCAGACTATTGTGTCCTGAAGACCCTCTTCTTGGGCCTTTTTCCTAGGTGCCCAGTGAGTGATGGATGGTTACTGTCTGCAGGATTGATTCATATGGCACTCATTTGGCTTTTGACAGGTTGTTTATAAGAATAATGACATCCGTCTGGAGCTGTCTCGCCTGGCCCGGATTGGGGACACCAAGATGAAAATCTATGGTGAAGTTGTATTCAAGTGTGAGAATGTGGCCACGCTGGACCCCATCAACTTCGAGACCCCAGAGGCTTACATAAGCTTGCCCAAATGGAACACCAAGCGCATGGGTTCCATCTCCTTTGACTTCCGCACCACAGAGCCCAATGGCCTGATCCTCTTCACTCATGGCAAGCCCCAAGAGAGGAAGGATGTTCGGAGCCAGAAGAACACCAAGGTGGACTTCTTTGCCGTGGAACTCCTTGATGGCAACCTGTACTTGCTGCTTGACATGGGCTCTGGCACCATCAAAGTGAAAGCCACTCAGAAGAAAGCCAACGATGGGGAATGGTACCACGTGGACATTCAGCGAGATGGCAGATCAGGTAGGAAGAGGTGGGGTATGTCACTGAGACGGGAGGAAAGCTCTGGCTTCTCAGTTTGTTTCCTGGTTTTATATTTTTTATTGTAATTTTTGCACTTGCATGCTTGTTGAATCTTTTGCTGTTCTCTTTAGTGGTTGTTGTGAGATTATGTTTTAGAACAAGACACCTGCCTCCTGGATGGCTCACATTCTCCTCTTATCTCCCCTGTCACTCATGCACAATCCTCTCAGTGATACTTCCAAGACCCTGGAGCTAAGGATGGTTTTTCAAGTAGCATTTCCACAGCTACCAAAGCAGCTGTCATGTCATTGGCGTGATGGTAACCCCCCCTTTTCTTCTCCTTTTTCTCATCGCCATGGAAACCAATGTGACATCACAGACACTGCATTAGGTGATAACTCTATAGGATAAGCTGCACTCTGTAAGGGTTTATGCAACAGTATGCCCTTCAATAATTGGCAAGAGTCATGTTTCAGGGAAAAATTATGACAAGAAGAGAAAAGGCAAATCGATTTTTCCTGAAGTCATGTTCAATATAAAGCCTTCCTTTGGTGTGAAAGCCTATATTTCACCCTTTGTTCAGACCTCACTAACTCACCCTTCCTCTTCATAACCTTTTCTATTTGGTTTAAATGGCTTTGTTTGTTTCTGCAGCCGCAGATCAAACAAGCTGGCCCCAGGCAGTACATAGCCACTCTGGAATAGTAACAGAGAGAGGGAGGAAACAAAAAATAAAACAAGAAACACAGAAAGTCTGGAGCTTTTGAGTGCCCAAACAGTCTGCCCAGCTTTCTATGGACCATGTGGCAATGAAGGTCATATTCTGTGCCATCAGAGAGGGATTTCACCTGGAGTGCTAATTAGAACATTTGAATTTCACGCTTATTTCCTGATTCTCTATTTAGGTGGTGGTATACTGAAGAAGGGCCTTGGCTATATTTGCCATACTTTTTCACTCTGGATATTGTAATTTGGACATTTTTCTTTTAGGTGCATTTGGCTAACAACAGAAAGTAATAGGTTCCCCTTAAAAGGCTACAGCCAGGAATGGCTGAGGCTCTGGGGAAACAGCTTTTCTGCATAATTTCAGAGCTAGAGGGCTGATGGTGATGAGCAGAGCTGCCCTTAGGAGGAGCTGGATGGGTTCTGTGCGGAGGGTAGACGGGTGGCAGATTGCAGCCCTAGATGGTTTATTGCCCAGTAGGATGCTTTATTGATTGTCTGAAATCTGATCAGAACCAGGAGGCATCAAATTAAATGTGCTTTTTGAGTGGGAATAAACAGTTTGTGTTTTTTTAACAGAAATACACACAAAAATTAATTTCTCTGGAGGCTGGATCTTTCTCTGTTTTTCTCTCTGTGTTTATCCTTAAAATGCCAGCAGGGGCAGAGCCAGAAAGCTGTCCCAGAATTTTAAAGGAAATACACCTGTTGGTTGTTAAGAGCATGCATTTGGGGTCTCTGGAGTTGGGTCATGGTTGATGGATTTCGTAACTGACTAACCTAGACCCTGACACAGCTTAATGATTACTTGTCTGTGTCACCGGCAGGCTAGAACTCGTAAACTTGCTGTATGTCCATTTCTGTTTATTCTCAGCACTAACTGCTTTTTAAAGTACAGTATTTTGTTTTGTTAGAACCATCAGTGGACCCATCTTTCTCAAATAGGTTTGAATTTCAGCAGGTTTGAATTTCTCATACCTAGGAACTACAGCATTGGCCAGTACTTGAAATACCTATACAGCTGATCAAATCCTATAAAAACTTACTGAGTAGTAAAAAAAATTGCCCTGTGAAAGCAAGGTAACATAAAATTTTAATATGACCTATTAAATGTCATTTCTTTACGAGGATATTTTCTAGTGTGTTGTCTTTAGTTATAAACCTATACTAAAATGAATAATTGTAAAAACATTAGTGTAGCTAAGTGTGGTGTCTCCTTCCTCACTCATCCTGAATAATAATAATATGGCTGAGAGGTGGTCTAGAAAAACTTTTATTTCACTTAGTGTAATACCCTATAGGTCCTTCCATGTTGTCACAAGTGGTAAGATTTCATTCTTTTTTATGGCAAAGTAATATTCCATTGTATATATGTATTACCCCTTCTTTATCCAGTTATCTATTGATGGATACTTAGGTTGCTTCCATATCTTGGCTATTATAAATAACAAAGAGATTAAGAAGTACAAGTTGGTAGTCACAAAATAGTCATGGGAATGTAAAGTACAGCATAGGAAATATAGTCAATGATATTGTAATAACTATGTGTGGTGCCAGGTGGGTACTAGGCTTATTAGGGGATCACTTTGTAAATTATATAAATGTCTAACCACTATTCTGTACACCTGAAACTAATATGAAATGATATTGAATCAACTGTAATTGAAAAATAAATAAATAAAATAGAAAGAAAAACTTTTATGATCACTATCCATTTGGGGAACAGATTCTTAAAAGTTGATAAGTGCATTGAAAACAGCTGTGGTCACACAGGCTAGATTGTCCTCAGGGTGTATTCAAGGCTCCCGCATTTAAATTTGTTCTGGTACTTGTCTTATTTGGCAATAGATGTTCCTTCCTGCCAGTGGGTGATCGGAGTAGCTCTGGATTTGCGGAGGGCAAAGAAGGCATGTTGTGAGAGAAGAAAGACACAAACCTTGGCTTTCTCATTTGTGAAATAGCAACTCCTATCTCACAAAACTGTTTTTGTATTTTTTTTTAAATTCTCACCCGAGGATATTTTTTCCATTGCTTTTCAGAGTGAGTGGAAGGGAGAGGGAGAGAGAGAGAGAGAGAGAAACATCAATGTGAGAGAGACACATCGATTGCTTGCCTCCTGCATGCACCCCGACCGGGGCCAGGGACTGAGCCTGCAACCGAGGTACGTGCCCTTGGCCGGAATTGAACCCGGGACCCTTCAGTCTGCAGGCTGATGCTCTAGCCACTGAGCCAAGCAGGCTAGGGCTCACAAAATTATTTTAAGGATCAAGTCCAAAAAAGAACATAGTGTTTAAAACGGTGACCAGGACAGTATTATTGTTACATGGGTTTTTAAAAGATTAAAAGTCAAAAGGGCAAAGCAGATTTCTCCAGGAGAAAACTTCTAGGGGCCAGTAGGGGAAGCAAGCTGTTGGATTAATCCTCCCAGAGGCCCCTTAGGCTCTTTCTACTCTTCTACCCCTGTGCTGACTTTGTAATTTAGAGTGTCTGTCACATTCTTGATCTCATCTGATCTTCTCAGCCCTCAGGCTACCCCCTTCATAGCTGAGGGAATTGAGATTCAGACAGAAGTGAAGGCTGGCTGATGGATGGCATGACCCAGTTAACTTGGTACCAACAAAGCACTTTGAGAATACTAGATCCTTTTTTAAATGTATGGCATGATGTTCAGATATCACTTTGATTTTACAGTTTCCTTGATTTTTACACTTTAGGAAACTGAGCTGTTAAGTGGCTCAGGGACTGGCCTAGGGTCATTTCCACCAGGAATCCCTGTTCCCAAGTTCCCAGGTTAGGCTCTAGGGTTACATCTTCTGTAATCTCAGGCACCCAGTCTCTCTCCCTGACTCATCTCCTGCTCACTCCCTCTTGCCTTCTCCACTCTAGCCACAACCCTGCCTGCCCCAGGGCCTTTGTATATGCCATTCCTTCTGCCAGGCACCTTCTTCCCCCTTCCACGTTCTGTTTTCAGCTCACCTGGCATGTGCTTAGAGAAGCCTTCACTTTAAAGAAGAACCCTTAGGCTGCTGCCACAGCTCTCATTTTACTCTCTTCCTAGCACCTGTCATTAGCTAATTTCTGTTGTTTATTGGGTGACTTGTTTATTTTCTGTCCCTTTGCTCTGGAACATCAGCTCCACGAGAGCAAGGACATGCCTGTCAAGTTCATCTCTGTGTGTAGAACTCTACCGGAGACAGAAGAGGTGTTCAATACATATTTGTTAAATGAATAAATAAACATGTTCCAGTTAAAATTTATCAGAGACAGTGCCCAACATAGTCACTGGCAGGCCTGGCAGCTAATGCCAGTGTAGAGGGTATCCGTGCATGGAGTGTTCCATGACGAGCCAGAAGGGAAAGACTCAAGCAAGCACTTGCAGGGCCCTTACTCTGTCCCAGGCACAGAGTAAGAAGCTCTTAATAGATGTGAGCTCATTTAATCGTTACACCCACCTGTGAGTGGGGGACCATTATGTCTGCATTTTACAGATGAGGAAATTAAGGCCCCGGAAGGTGAAGGTGCTCCTTCACCGTTACAGCTACAACATGGTAGAGCCGGGACTGAAACAGGCAGGAGCTGTGCTTGCTCTGCCCTGGATGGTAGGCGACCTTCAGCAGGACTTTTCGGTAGAGAAAAGACATCATCCTTNCTTCATAGCTGAGGGAATTGAGATTCAGACAGAAGTGAAGGCTGGCTGATGGATGGCATGACCCAGTTAACTTGGTACCAACAAAGCACTTTGAGAATACTAGATCCTTTTTTAAATGTATGGCATGATGTTCAGATATCACTTTGATTTTACAGTTTCCTTGATTTTTACACTTTAGGAAACTGAGCTGTTAAGTGGCTCAGGGACTGGCCTAGGGTCATTTCCACCAGGAATCCCTGTTCCCAAGTTCCCAGGTTAGGCTCTAGGGTTACATCTTCTGTAATCTCAGGCACCCAGTCTCTCTCCCTGACTCATCTCCTGCTCACTCCCTCTTGCCTTCTCCACTCTAGCCACAACCCTGCCTGCCCCAGGGCCTTTGTATATGCCATTCCTTCTGCCAGGCACCTTCTTCCCCCTTCCACGTTCTGTTTTCAGCTCACCTGGCATGTGCTTAGAGAAGCCTTCACTTTAAAGAAGAACCCTTAGGCTGCTGCCACAGCTCTCATTTTACTCTCTTCCTAGCACCTGTCATTAGCTAATTTCTGTTGTTTATTGGGTGACTTGTTTATTTTCTGTCCCTTTGCTCTGGAACATCAGCTCCACGAGAGCAAGGACATGCCTGTCAAGTTCATCTCTGTGTGTAGAACTCTACCGGAGACAGAAGAGGTGTTCAATACATATTTGTTAAATGAATAAATAAACATGTTCCAGTTAAAATTTATCAGAGACAGTGCCCAACATAGTCACTGGCAGGCCTGGCAGCTAATGCCAGTGTAGAGGGTATCCGTGCATGGAGTGTTCCATGACGAGCCAGAAGGGAAAGACTCAAGCAAGCACTTGCAGGGCCCTTACTCTGTCCCAGGCACAGAGTAAGAAGCTCTTAATAGATGTGAGCTCATTTAATCGTTACACCCACCTGTGAGTGGGGGACCATTATGTCTGCATTTTACAGATGAGGAAATTAAGGCCCCGGAAGGTGAAGGTGCTCCTTCACCGTTACAGCTACAACATGGTAGAGCCGGGACTGAAACACAGGCAGGAGCTGTGCTGCTCTGCCCTGGATGGTAGGCGACCTTCAGCAGGACTTTTTGGTAGAGAAAAGACATCATCCTCGGTAGCAGGCCATTGGGATTGTCCCAGGGCCCCCTATGGGCCAGGCCGTCTTACCTGGCACGGACTGGAACCCCATTACCTACCCTCTCCTTTCCTCCACCTTGTGGCAGCTCCTTCCCTTGTTCGCGCTGTTCTCTCCTGGTCACCCGGCGCTGGTCTCCGAACCCACCGGCTGGGCTCCTTTCTTTGGTTCTTGGCCGGGCAGCCTGGCCTGCGATGCCACGTCGCTGTTAGCTCACCGTCCCTCTGTCTTCCCACCCAGGTACCATATCAGTGAACAGCAGGCGCACGCCTTTCACCGCCAGCGGGGAGAGCGAGATCCTGGACCTGGAGGGGGACATGTACCTGGGCGGGCTGCCCGAGAGCCGCGCCGGCCTCATCCTGCCCACGGAGCTCTGGACGGCCATGCTCAACTACGGCTACGTGGGCTGCATCCGCGACCTGTTCATCGACGGGCGCAGCAAGAACATCCGGCAGCTGGCCGAGCTGCAGAACGCCGCGGGCGTCAAGTCCTCCTGCTCCCGCACCAGCGCCAAGCAGTGCGACAGCTACCCCTGCAAGAACAACGCCGTGTGCAAGGACGGCTGGAACCGCTTCATCTGCGACTGCACGGGCACCGGCTACTGGGGGCGAACCTGCGAGAGGGGTGAGTGGGCCCGGGGCTGCCCGCCGCGGCTCAGTGGGTGTGACGACGACAGGTGCGTCCCCGCAGACGCCTGTGCTTCCTTTGCTACCACAGGTGCTTCCTGGGGACCCACCTGTGCTTGCTTTCTTCTAGACTTCTCTTGGGTTCCCAGAGGGCGCCCTTTCTGGTTCTGGATATTTGGATTTGTTTGACTAGGGTTGGGTTGCAAAAAAGGGAAAGTTTAGAATAAGCATTACCATGATCTTGATACTTTTAAAAAAATTATTAAGTGTCAGGCATCTTTTATTTAGAGAAGGTGAAGCCTTGTCTTTTGGGGTTCTGGATGGGCTAACCAACTGGTGTTTTATTTGTTCGTTGAGCTCATGCTTTTTGGTGCTCTCTGCAGGCCAGTTCTTGGGTTACGCTTTAGAAATATGCTATTGTACAAGACAGGCCCAGCCCTTTTCTCAAGGAGATTGATTCCTAGGTGAATATTTAGCCATTAAGTAAATAATTTTAAACATGGTGAGTTTTATAAGAGATGGTGGGATGTATTGGTTAAGAACAGGAGCTCTGGAGCCAGACTGGGTGAGAAATCTGGCCCTCGTGGAGTGATGTGAACCTTTGCAAGGTAATCAATATCCTTGGGACTTGATTTCCTCATCTTTAAAATGGGATTAATCAGATACCTCTTTCCAAGATATTGTTAATGATGAAGTGGGTCAATAAATCCTGGGCTATGGTAAGCAGTTAATAAATATTAGTGATTGTTGCAGTCATAACTATTTTCATTCAGCATCATTAAAGGGAAAGTAGAGAGAGGCCTTTACAAGGGGACCTGACATATTGTAGGAGTTCATAAAAAGCTTCTGCAAGGAGGAAATATGCAAGTTGAGACTTGAAATATGGATAGGAGTAAGCTTGGCAAAGAAGTGGGAGGAAGGTGTGTGTCCTAGACAGGAAGGACATGCCAAGGGACAGAGGTAAGAGACCATGGCACAGCTGAGGAGCTGAGCAAAGCCCAGAATGGACTGGAGTGTGGAGTGATGTGGGGGGAAAGTTAGGAGAGGTGGCTGAAGAGGTGGGGAGAAATAGTGGGGGCTGAAATAGTGGGGGCTGACTGATTAGAACATGCCAGAATGTTGGGAGGAGCCCCTTTCCATTCACCACTTCTGCATTTTACATTTGCATTGAATTTACAGTTTAGGCAGAGGACAGAGATAAAGGCGAGCCAAGAGATAACGTTAAGATAAGAAGATTCCAGTCTATAAGCCATATCCAGATTGCAGCTTGGTTTATTGTTTTATATGCCAGGCACGCAGAATCAAGTGGTTGTCCATGGGTTGTCAGCCTCTGTTTTATACGAAAAGATAATCTACAGAGTTGTTAAATGTTTGCCGAGGGCATAACTCTAGGGCTTCGAGGATACAGCATCTGTTATAGGTAGTTTCTGCCCTCAAGAAGCTTACCATCTACTTAGCTGAGGAGCTGAAACATCAATACAAAAAGCAGTAATAAAATGATACAAGGCAGCAGCCTGGGCTCCACTGATGCACCAGACTATGAGGACATGGAGATTTGAAAAAGAGAAGACTATCTTGAGGAGGAACCTGCAGGGTCTTATCTTTAAAGACTACCACCAGTGGCTGGAATTGTCCAATATCATAAGTCTGGTGATGAGTTATCATAGTTTGGTGTAAGCCAGGATCTTCCACAATCTTCGGTTCTAGTGTAAGAACTGAAGGTCACTTTAAACACCTCACTTTCTCCCCATGGGTCTCTTCCCAATTCAAGGTCCTCGTGGTTGCTGAAGACCGGCAGCAGTGACTGTAGACATCTGTGTAAAGTGTCTCTGAGTTCACCTATTCCAAGGGCAGATCAATGGGTCTTGATTCAAGATTTGCCAAAGACAATGAAAGTCACTGCACCTTTTACATTGTCACTTGTGACTAGTCATTAAAAGGCAGCTGATTGGGGATATGTGAGGGACAATTATTCCTGGTACAGTGCAGCCAAGGGTCATCCATTCTGGCCAAATGAGAAGGAGCGAACTTAAGACGTTTGATCTATACATCGCTCAAATTCCAGACGGTTCATCTGATTGTTTTGTTCCCCCACTAATTGTTTTTTGGCCTTGGATTGCTCCTGACACCATGTTCAGAATGAATCAGTGGGGTGTAAAAATGATAGGACTCCACTCTGCTAGCAAAGGAAATAGAGCTTCCCAATGACATTCTTTTTCTTTATTGAAACTGATTCCCCAGGGGAGATGCTTTTGACTATCTTTCACTCATTTTTTATACATGCAGCGGTCATCAAACCCCAGAATGTTTCAGACATTGTATTAGATGCAAGAGTTACAAACAAACTGACAGCCCTTGATTTTGATCAAGGGGCATATAATCCTTCCAGGGAAACACAGGGAGACGTGGGAAATGTGCTAACATGTGGTGGGTGTTATGCTAGATGCCTTGAGGGGAACATTAGGATACACAGATGTGAGAGGCCATGTCCATATGGGGGGAGTGATGGTCAGAAAAATGGGCCCCAGGTTTTTTTGGATTTTCTTGTCTCCCATTTCTAACAAAAGTATGGCCTCTCTCTACCTGTCACCCTCAATGTTCACTACGGGTACTTCCGAAGAGTGGTGAAGGCAAAGTGTTTGTTAGGATTATTTGTATAGGAACATGGTCCCCTTTGGATCAAGGGATGCTGCTCCATCCACCATAACACCAGCAACCTGCTCACTCAGTTTACCATTCTCTTTGTAATCTTCTAGAAGCATTGACCCTAAGCCTAGAATTCATCATTTGTGATAAATGTGATGAGTCTAGGATAGTTCCTAAGACAGTGTGTCCCATCTAGCCCAAACTATGTCCCATACTTGGGCTTCATAGTCGGGTCAGTCCCTTGGTATTGTTGGCCCCACAACAAGAACAGTAGTGTTACAAAGAAGGGCTTGTTTATATAAACTGGAGAAAACATAGGTGGGATGCTGAATACTGGTATTTAGAGAAAAAGCAGAGTTGGGGATGGCCCAGGTCAGATTAAAATAGCCCAAGAACTCAAACAAAGTGAGCAAGCAGTTCAGTCTAAGAGACAACTCTCAGATCAATGTCGCCGTCCAAGACAAGGGAATAAAGCAGGGGGACTAGGACATATACAAGCATGTTAGACTAAGGGTAATTTGTATCAGGACTTTTCTTTTAGAGTAAAAGTGGATGACTCTTGCTTGTATCCTCACGAGAGTGCTTCTACTGTCTGTGAAAACGAGCAGCTCTAAGTCTTGCTGTATGGCAATTGGCTCAATGTCGTATTTAGATTTTTCAGTATGATCTGATACTATTCTAAGAAGATGTAGAGATATATATACCCACCCTGGTTGTTCAGCTGTAGCTATTTTGGTTTGTTATTTATAGTGAAGTGGGAGACGTCTCCATGACCTAAAAAGCAAAGGCCTGTTTTAGCTACTGAATGCCAATCTGTTTGGTTGAAATGCTTTCATCTGCTGGAAGACCACCTGCCATCCCGTGGAGCCCTGCTGTACAGAGGAAGATGTTCTAGCTTGTCTGTCTTAAGAAGAGAAGATCAATTGACCTGAGACAACATAGGCATCTTCCCCTTGCCAATGTAGCCAAACTCTTTAATTCCCTTGGTGGGAGCCAAGTGGTAATAGGCAAGGCTATGGATTTATTTGTGGACCATAGAGCTTCAGTTTGAGCTACAGATTCTGTTTCCCTGGAAGGCATTTTCTGAATGAATGTCATCCTTTATTTAGCAAGAAAGAAAATAAGACCCAGCCCGGCCTAGTGTGGCTCAGTGGTTGAGCGTTGACCTAGGATCCAGGCGATAGGGGTTCGATTCCCGGTCAGGGCACATGCCCAGGTTGCGGGCTCAATCAATGACTCTCATCATTGATGTTTCTATCTCTCTCTCTCCCTCTCCTTTCCTCTCTCTGAAATCAATAAAGATATATTGAAAAAAGAAAGAAAGAAAATAAGACCCAGCACAAGTCCATCTCTATGACAAGGAAAATAACCTACAGTGCAGCACTTAGAGTCAGGATTGCCTAGTGGTTAGTGGTATAAAATGTAATGTTGGATGGAGCTTGATTCCTGTGTTCTCTCACTTACTAGCTAGATGATTTATGACTACTTCCTCTCTTAATTCTTCTAAGTCTCAGTTTCCTTCTCTGTAAAATAGGGACATTAATACTTACTAGGTAAGGTCTACTTGGTTGTAAGTTACAGAATTGACTGTGGCTAACACAATCAAGGAACAGGATTTCTACATGATCACCTAGAGAGGTGTCAATCAAGTGAAGATCTCACTAAGTACATCTTACAAAGGGAAGCGGAGCAACTCTGGGGACCCCAAGGCACTGTGATTGAAATGATTCATCTCTCCTGACCTCCAGGTTCTGGATTTTTCCATTCAGAGTTTATATTTTCCAGAAAGATAACCTGATTGGCTTAATTTGCCTCTCCAGTCAGCTCTGGCCAGGTGAGCAGTCATCTAGAATTGATATGAAGGATCACCCACATGTGTGTACAGATACACACACACAGAGCATGCTCTTTCATCCTTTCATGGGTAAGCTCAGGGTACCAGGCCCCATATGGCCATGTCCTATTACAGGTGTCCAGCCATGTGGAACAACTTCTGTCTGATAAAAGAAAATATTTCCTGGGATCATGGAAATTCGATGTCTTTGAGAACATGTCTTTGAGATGGAGAGGGTAAATCTGCTCTTACTGGTCCCCAGGATTCCATTCATCTAACATAAACACCAGCTGAAAACCCAGAAAGAAAGATATTTTGAGTTCTCTCTGATGACTCTTATTCCAACAGAATAAGAGTGTGGGCAGCAACTGCTCCCCCTTCCAGCTCAGGGGTCCCCCTCTCAGCCAAGCCCTCTGATGGCTGCTGTGTGCCCGGGAGTGGCAGGAGCACATTCTGCCTGGGAAGGAAGGGTGAGACACCGCCTTTAGGTGAGGCTGGAATGTGTCATTTGGATGCCA